ATTGCACATATGTAGCTCAATTTCGTACTGAAGCTGACATAAATGTCATGTATGTGCCCTTTAGCACAAATATTGTTCTCAAAAAATGTGTTATAGTGGCAGGTAAATTTTAAAAGCTACGTGAGGAATAGTAATATAAAAACATTTTTTCATACAGGCGGAAGATTCTGTGACCTTTTGTTTTTTCGCTAGAGCTTCTCAAGCATTGCCAAAAACGCATTTTTTGACACTTGGACTACGTCTTTCTCTAGATCTAGAGCTGATAGAAACTGTTTTTTTTTTTAGAGGTGGCGCAAGGCATTGAAAGCCGAAAAGTGTGGGACTTGGCTTTCGGCTCACCGCACTAAAACACCCACCCCTGCTTCGTTTCCCTACCACCGTGGAACTACCGTAAGGTATTACTTTGCGGAGGGGGATCGGCCTATTGCCTTTCTATGAAAAACTGCGGAGTTGTTCCGCCAGACGCAATTATGTTCAAATTGTGTTTGCCAAATTGCAAATAACGAACCAATTTTCTTCCGACTCAAGCGTAGCATGCACAAGGTTGTTAACCGCAAGTGTCCATCCCACCTGCACGCTCGAGTCGTCCCTTTGATTGCAAAACTGTGGACAGACAATCAAACCGTCTTCAGTACCATCCTCTATGATCGTAAATATGATTTGAAGCAACCATGCCTCGTAAATATTTGGGTCTGGAACTGTAACCGCCTAAGCGATTTTGGCCGAGTCGAAAACAGCACGCCAGTCATTTCTCTTCTGTGCTAACTGACGCCAATTGGAAACGCCAAGTGAAGCCAAGTTCTTCTCCACCTGGTCTTTCCAACGCAGAGGAGGCCTTCCTCTTCCTCTGTTCCCAGCATCGCGGCCCGCGTTGAATATTTTCGGAGGAGGATCGTTTCTGTCCATTCGAAAGACATGGCCAAGCCAGCTGAGCCGCTGAATTTTAATTCGCTGCACTATGTCTATATCGTTGTAAAGCTCATACAGCTCATCGTTAAATCGTCTGCGATATTCGCCGTCACCAAGGCGTAAAGGTCCGTAAATCTTTCGCAGAATCTTTCTCTCGAAAACTCCAAGAGCCGCCTCATCAGATGCTTTCATTGTCCATGCCTCCGCGCCATACACCAGCATAGGCACTATGAGTGACTTTAGAGTGTAGTCTTTGTACGACGAGAGAGGACTTTACTTCTCAATTGCCTACTCAGCCCAAAGTAGCACTTGTTGGCAAGAGTGATTCTCCATTGCATTTCAAGGCTTACATTATTATTGGTGTTAATGCTGGTTCCCAAATAAACGAAGTCGTCTACTTTTTCAACCTTGTAATTGTCAACAGTGACGTGTGTGCCAAGACGCGTATGCTCTGACTGTTTGTGTGATGACAGGAGATACTTCGTTTTGTCCTCGTTCACCACCAGACCCATTCGCTTTTCTTCTCTATCCACTCCCGAGAAGGCAGAAAAGACGTAGCCCTTGTTTTTGCCGATAATATCGATGTCGTCGGAATACGCCAGCAATTGTATGGTCTTGTAAAGTATTGTACCTGAGCGGTTTAGTTCTGCGGCTCTTATTATCTGCTCCAACATCAGATTAAAGAAATCACGCGAAAGGGAGTCCCCTTGTATGAAACCTCGTTTGGTATCAAATGGCTCGGAGAGTTCCTTCCACGGAACTTGTGGAATTTCTCAACGTAATTTTACTCAGCCGTATTGGTTTCGCGGGCATACCAAATTCAGACATCGCGGCATAAAGGCAACTTCTCTTCGTGCTGTCGAAAGCGGCTTTGAAATGGACCAATAGATGGTGTGTGTCGATCCTATTCTCGCGGGTCTTGTCCAAGATTTGGCGTATTGTTAATACCTGATCTATGGTGGATTTTCCAGGCCTAAAGCCACACTGATAAGGTCCAATCAGTTCGTTGATGGTGGGCTTCAGTCTTTTGCACAATACACTCGCCAGGACCTTATAACCTATGCTTAGAAGGCTGATTCCGCGGTAGTTGGCACGCATGGCGGGGTCGCCTTTCTTGTGGATTGGGCAGAGTGTACTTGAATTCCATTCGTCGGGCATGCATTCATCTGACCATATTCTGCATACGAGCTGATGCATGCTCCTCATCAGCTCCTCGCCGCCGTACTTGAATAGCTCAGCTGGCGGGCCATCAGCTCCAGTAGCTTTGTTGTTTTTCAGCAGCGTAATCGCTATTCGTACATCGTCATAGTCAGGCGGTGGGACAGCTACTCCATCATCCTCGACTGGGCACTCGGGTTCGTCTTCTTCAATTCTTTCAGCGCTGCTACCATTCGGTAGGTTGCAAAAGTGTTCCCTCCACAATTTAAGTATATTCTGGACATAGGTCACTAGGTCGCCAATGCTGTTCTTACAGGAGTTCGCCCCTTTAAACCTTCCGTAAGTCGCCTAACCCTCTGGTAAAATTTTCGGGCGTTCTTCCTGTCGGCCAGCATCTCAAGCTCTTCGCACTCACGTATTTTGGTCTATCTCTTCTTATTGCGGCAAATACGTCTCGCTTCCTTCTTCAGTTCCCTATAACTGTCCCACATGGCTCGCGTTGTGCCTGATCGTAGCGTGGCCCTATAAACGGCGTCTTTTTTCTTTGCGGCTTCTTGACACTCCTCATCGATCCAGTTGTTTTCTCAGAGAGCAGGTGTGTGAGTCGAGCGGCGAATAAATTGGCCGTCTGTTGTGATTGCAGCTTTTCGACGTTGTGCTTTCCTTGTATTGTTGGGCGCACTTTTTTGCTGCACAGAGGCGGGTGCGTATCTACAACAAGATAGTGATCCGAGTCAATGTTTGGCCCTCGGAGTGTACGTACGTCTAGAACGCTTAAACCATGCCTTCCGTCTATCACAACATGATCGATTTGGTTTCTCGTTTTTCGATCTGGAGACAGCCATGTAGCTTGGTGGATGTTCTTGTGCTGGAACCTAGTACTACATATTACCATGTTTCGGGCCCCGGTGAAGTCGATCATCCTCAGTCCTTTATCGAACGATTCGTTGTGGAGGCTGAATTTTCCGACAGCGGCGCCAATAATCCCTTCATTGCACACCTTGGCATTGAAATCGCCAAGCACGATTTTGACATTATGTCGGGGACAGCACTCATATGTACGTTCCAAGCGCTCATAGAAGAGACGCATCATCCTTCTCTTCCGTCGGGGCATGGGCGCAGATAGTGAGATGTTGAAGAAGCTAGCTTTGATGCGGATTGTGGCTAAACGTTCGTCCACCGGGGTGAACACCAGTATTCGGCGACAGAGTCTCTCTCCTACCACGAATCCAACACCGAATTTGCGCTGCTTTACATGGCAACTGTAGTAGACATCGCAAGGCTGCACGCTTACTTTGCCTTGGCCCGTCCATCGCATTTCTTGGATGGCGGTGATGTCAGCCTTTGTCTTCCCGAGGACATCAACCAGCCCACCCATTAAGGGTCCGGATATTCCAGGTGCATACCCTCAAATCATAGTCCTTTATACGTTTGCCGGGGTCGTCATCAAAAAACCATCATCTGTGGTTTGTTGGAATTTTTCATTGGGCGGGGTTTTAACGTGGCGGGACCCAAACCCAGCGCACGCGAAGTTTTACGCCTTCTCAATTTAGCTCGCTCCAAAACGGGTGTTTGGCTGCTACCCACAGGATACGTCGATATATATATCCGGACGTTGTTAGCTGCGATTTGGACCGTACGCACAAGAATCACTTCTGGCCACTCCCAGGTGAATGGCAGTCAAAAGCTTTCCACTTCTGCGCACGGAACCATCCTCCTTGATGTTGACTACTTACCCACCTTTATATCTAGGGTATCCGGAGGTACGCGACTATCGTAGCTCTTACGTTGATCTGCTACATTGTGCCCAAATTTCGGCGTACGAATGGTTGTTAGGCTTATGGCATTATGGCACACCGCTTTGGAAGTTAGAACGGCCTGGGTTCCAATCCGCGTCCACGCTTTGGTTGCACGAATTTCAAATCCTCAGTGTCTCGGCGGTTGGAGCGGTAAAGAAACTGTATACGTGCGGATTGGTAAGCAGAAAAAAGGAGTCCATTGAAAATAGCCTTACCGTTTTTGTTTCCCTGTGTAATAGAACACAATAATACCGGTAACCTAACACAATAAAATTCTATATATCCCCACTATTTTTTGTTCAATTAGCATGAGTAAAGTATAAATGGAAAGATAAAACATCAGTATTTCTATCTGATTAATTTAATTTAAGAACGTTTCGCTCCTGTCAATTTTAATATCAAATTAGTCTATGTGCACAACTTTAGCTAAGTATAAGGCAATCGTGAAGAAAATCACAACTTTTTATTAGGCTTAATATGAATTGGCCGTTTAAATAAATATATCGAGCCCTAACCGCCAAAATAACGTAAGCGACATTTTTTTCGAAATTTTATTTTTGATGCAGAAATGCATCTAGATGCTCTAGGAATATTTCTGCATCAAAAATAAAATTTTGAAAAAAATGTCGCTTACGTTATTTTGGGGGTTAGGGCTCGATATGGCAGTGAAACATTTCAGCAGTTTAGTCCTTTTGAGGCAATCGAATGATAATTTGGTAACAGAATAAGGAGCTCAGATGAGTGGCTGCCAATGTACGATAGCAAATCGTACGAGTAGGTAACTTGTCAGTTTTCATTAGATTACAAGTGGTCTGTGTTGTGCATATGTATGTACATAAGGATCTACACGTGCATGTGTGTAAGTGATATAGAAGCACAAACGCATAGAAAGAGCTGGTAGTTAGGGTGCTATTCTATAAGTATAATGGGCTTAATTACTGAGTGAATGTGTTCAAAGGGTATACAAATTCTACAGCTTTAGCGCAACAGCTCTTCGCTGTTCCCTGCTGCTCCTTTGCATATAAACATATCGATTCCATGACTTTGTCCTTCATTGCTTTTAATTCTCGTCTTCAAACCAATTATGCCATTTAACTAATAGTAGTAAACATTAAATTCGTAAATCTCTTGTAGGTCGCTTGGGTGCGCGTCGACACACAGACAATACTCTCCATACATCACAACGTTATATCACAAAATAATCGCATTAGTCTCAGCTATAACGACCACCGGTCTTGGTATCTGCATATCCGGGAGGTGGAAGAGAGCGATCGGGGTTGGTATATGTGTCAGGTGAATACGGACCCCATGCGCTCGCAAAAGGGGTATCTGCAAGTTGTAGGTGAGTTGGGTAATAAAACTTATTTTTGTTCTCCGAAAGTCGGAAATGCGCTGAATTTGTTTATTTTATGAATTTGTTTTATTTACTCGTAATAAATTTTTATAAAATATTCAGAATCTTTTCTTTGTCGTACTAATAATATTATTGGTTTCGAAATCGTTTTTAGTGCCTCCTGTAATCATCGAAACCTTGACCAGTAATGACATGGTTGTTCGTGAAGGGCTCAATGTCACGTTGATGTGTAAAGCTCGTGGCTATCCAGAACCATATGTGATGTGGCGTCGTGAAGATGGCGAGGAGATGCTCATTGGCGGTGAGCACGGTGAGTTCAGATTGTTTATAATACTCCTTAAATACACTGTTAGACAAAAGTACTTAGAAATATTTAACGGGAAGGTAAAAAAATTAATTTTTTTTGAATTTAGTAGTTATGAATTGATTGTTTTACCTAATTACGTACATATAATATGCAATATTATATATCCCATATGCCTCCACTATATTTTATTTATTTACTAGCCAATGTCCGCTTGCTTCGCGGCGCCTAATATGCACTTCTGCGTTGGCCAATGAAATAGAGCGTTTAAAAGCAAAAATAGTCTGTAAAGTCAACATTTTTAGTTGAAGTTGAAATCACTAAAGCGCATAGAATACTTATCCCTTTCGATGTCATGAACTTTACCGATGGTCTTATTTTCACCTGTGAGATCTCTTCCAAGCATGCGTAATATTTTTTTATGATCTTGCAATTAAAACATCTATTATTGCAATTAAAAAGTCTACTCAAGAGAACAGATGTGCGTTTTCTGTTATAGGAGGCCCAAGAATCCTCGCCGTCCCAATGCTCCAAACTTTGTGCAAAAAAAAAATTAATTCTTAAAATTTTTTCGAAAGTTTTACCTTTTACAAAAAATTAAAAGCAAAGTTACAATATCTCAGTAGGATTTAGAAATCTGAGAGAAAATGGTTCCCAATCGAATAATACTTGCCCGTTTACGTAAATGTATGTAGATGCAGCCTTTCAAATAATTACCACTTTTCGCCATAAGTATGGTATTGAAAATATATCATCACTACCACGTCAAACTACCGAATGTGCAAAAATGCTTTTTCATTTAGATACCTTGCGCACGCGGTTGGAATGATGCGCAAAGTTTGCAAATCGTCGAATTTCTAGTCTTCTTAGAAGAAGAGGATACTGACTCTAACAAAGTGTCGAATCCCACACTTTTTCCTAGTGCCAAAAAAATTTTATACAACAGTTTCTTTGCTCTCCTGAAAAGTACGGATTTTCACATTCGATAGTTTGACATGGTATCGACGATATGTAGCTGTGTCGAATTTCAGGACGTTAGCGTAAGCGGATCCAGAGATAAGCTATATGAGAAGTTCAGTTTGTATGGGAGGTGCCAGTCACCCTTTTCCAACGCCTACCAGTTTTCGCCATAAGTAGAGTATTTGCAATTTATTCATCCATGATAAATTACAGTTCTCCAGGTTTTAGAGATATATTGGTTTTTTACGTTTTAGTCTGTATAAGAGTTTTAGGAATATTCCTACACAAGCGCCACATACCGAGTAAATTTTTGGAATTTTTGAATATTTATTTTCAAGGTGCTGGCATATGTTCCAAATATGAACCAAATCGGTGTAGCCGTTTATTAGTTTGCAGAAAACCATATGAAATTGTAAAAACGCGACCTCTCAGATTTCTCAATTTTTTGGCAGAAACCACAAAGTAGTTTCGAAGAAGTGCGATTGGTTATGATTATGAACACAGGAATTGAATGTCAATAAAACTAAATTTGTGGTTATATCAAGGCGAAATTTTTAAAACAGTGCGGCGCTAACTCTAAATATAAACAACGAAGCACTGGTAAAAGTTAATACATTCAAATTCCTAGAAATAAAGATCGACGATAAACTGAAAAAAATGGATTCTATATTTTCAGTTAGATTTCAAGCAATATGTGCATCGGTGAAAACCGCCTTTAATTCTATACATTAGTTTTTGCATGATGCGCTTACAAACATGTTGCCGTACAGACAGACAGACAGACAGACCAAAATTCTAAAAATAGTTGATTTGGCTTCTATTGATCTAATAAGCCCCCTATTATTTTTTCTTTAATATTAATTATATACAGATATCGGCCTGTTACAATTTTATTATTCTCACATACCTTCGTTTGATAACCATATGGCAACAGTTAGGTTATCTTATCAATTTAACTGAATTAAATTTTTCAAATAGGGGAAAACCCGCTTCAAAAATATTTTCGCAAGTAAGCTTCCTAAACCTCTTTAGTTTAATATTCGTGTTGCAATATTTCATTTATTTTACCAGTTTAAATGAATAAAATTTTCCAAGCGGGTGGCAGATCCCCTAAAAATATTTTCGGCCTTAAAATTTCCTAACCTCTTAGCCAATATTGCAATACTTAATTTATGTTATCAAATCTATTAAATAAAAGTTTTTAAACAGGTGGCGTATCAATTTATTTAAACTGAAATTTTCAAACAAGTGGCAACTCTCTAATTGTTTTCTTCTATATTGTAAGTTAGACCTCCAGCGATACATAGGTGAAAACTTAATTCGATTCCATGCATTAGTTTTCGAGTTATGCGCGTACAAATATACGGACAGACAGACAGACATACCAAAATTCTAAAAATTGTTAATTTGGCTTCTGTAGCTTTAATAAAGACCCCCTTATTGATTTTTCTTTAATATATATCATGTACAGACATCGGCCTGCTACAATTTTATTATAAGTACAGATATAGATTTAATTTATTTTATCAACTTAATTCAATAAAATTTTTCAAACAGGTGGCAAGCCTCCTAAAAAATACTTTCGTCAGTAAAATTTTCTAAACCTCTTCAGTTTGATACCCATATTGCCATATTCGATTTGACCTATAAATTAAATTAAATTAAAATTTTCAAACAAACATTTTCGGCTGTAAGGCTTCTTAAGCCTCTTTCTTTTGACGCCCATCTTGTAATATTCACCTTTTCTTATTAATTTACTTAGCCTGCAATTTTCAAACAGGTGACAACTCTCAAACATTTTTCTTTCTATATTTTAAGTTAGACCTCTAGCAATACACTCGTGGAAACCGCATTCAATAACCTGCATTCATTTTCGAGTGGTGCGCGTGCAAACATACCGACAGACAGACACACAGACAAACGACGAAAATTTTAAAAATGGTTGATTTGGCTTCTATTGCTTAATAAAGAGCCCCCATATTAGTTTTTTTTTAATTTAATATATAATGTACAGACATCGGCCTGTAACAATTTAATTATATGTATAGATTTATTGCGGCTAAAAGCCTAATTTCTTGCAATAAATGGCCGTATCTATCTCATAGCCGTGTTTTTATAGCATGCCGGTGTTAGAAAACACCTAATTCCAACAGTCCTTCGTCCCTCACACAGTTTGCACCGCGTATCCGAGCAGACTATTTTTAAAATCCTATTAGGCGAATGTAACGCCTGCTTTGGCTGGTGGCACTTTGGGATATGTTCTGGCCTGCGTGAGAGGACGTGGGACTACCTCGCCGTCGCCGCTGCGAAAGCAACATAGCCAAAGTAGGCATATGCACTTGCACTTCACCCCCTAAACATTATAATCAGGCTCCCAAGTACTTGTACCATATTTTTGCTATTACCAATCAAAATTCTAAAAAAGCGGTTGTTCGGCCCACGCTGTTGTATAAGAATCCTTATTCAAATGTAATGGACTACTGAGTAAGAATGAGGAGATAACCGCTTTCATTGGTCATCACGAAGAATTGATAGCTGCTATCCAAGAAACAAAATTTCGCAACAATTAGTATAAATAGTAATACTATAACTAAATAAACAAATATATGCAAAAAGGAAGTGACAAAAGAAAAGAAAGTGACAGTGGGGACGGCGAGGTTGCTGGTGGGGAAGACAACAGGACTATGCGATACAATTAAACGATCAAATTTGGGAGATGGGACAACAACAATTATATGGGGGAACGGCACTAACTATTAATATATAACCAACTAACGTGCAAATATCACTACCAGGGTGACTCAAAAATTATGGGACAAATGACTAGGTATTCAAATGCGATTAAAAATTTTAAAAAGACGAAACAGACGATATAAAGCAACAGCAATAATACCAAAACAAAACCTTGTTTATTGGTGCAACCGAGGTGAGGTTCACCCAAAAGGTTACGAACCCACTCGCGCTACCGCAAGGGTGCTGCGCTATGGGTGCGGGATGCTGAAAGTAAGGGAAAGGAATACAATAGGGCAAAACTACCTGGAACGATTCGCTCAAAAAGGGACACACAAAATACATAGCCACTAATGCGATGGTCGGGGTGTGCGTCTACCACGGGGTGCTTCTGCGGAGTTATGCCGCCCAACTCCGTTTCCGACGCTATTTCCTACCGCTGCTCCTTTACCTCGACTGACGCCGCCTTCCAATTCTCCTGCGCGGCTGCAGTATAAGTGCCTCTCTTGACACTTATAATAACTAAGGTGAAAGCAAAAACTCTGGTACCTCGGATGGTACAATAAAATACATTTTATACGTAATGCGCAAAATACACCACACAAATATTTGCGCAAATACCAACTGGTACAAATAAGTATCGAACTAGAATTCAGAAAAATCTTATTTATACTAATTTTTATTTGTGCAAATATTTGTGTGGTGTATTTTGAGCATAAGCGACACGTCGCGCACAATAGGGATGTTTCCCCTTTTCATTGTTTGATTGGTTTTGCCCCGGCGCGCATCTACCAGTTGGGCCGCAACCTACGCGCCGGTCATCAAAACCATCGGGCCTCAATTCCGATGTTGTTGGTACCCGATCAATTGGCGCCGGCCCGTTAATTTTGAAGGCGAATTAGTCACCTCCAACAATCAGCTGCTTTGCTCTTCAAGCTGAGCTTTTATTAACCAAACTAGAACACACACGGCAATAACGCAAATTTGTGAAATAAAACAAATTTTCTTTATTTTATTTCTCGTTGAGCAATATTACCAATCAAAATTTAAAAAAGCGGATTTTCGGTCCACGCTACATCACATACGATCCACAAAAAAAATGTTAGAGGTTTTCATTCCAGAAAGCGGAAAGTGTTAAGAGACAATATACTGGCTAATGCCGAATTTCCAATGACAAAAAATGTATGCCAACCGTGTATTTGTAATTGCATTTGAGAAAAAAATAAATAATTGATGACGTCATTTTTTAATCGGTTTCATTCACATACATGGTTTCGTTCCTTTTCATTCACATGGCGGCGAAAAAATTACGTCATTGAAAAAAAAATACTTTCTTCTCGCACGCCGTCCTGGGAGATCTTATTCGTTCGTTCATGCAGAAAAACCACCAATGACAATCACGCAATTACGCCCTTTGCAACTCTCGCGATATGAATGCCGTCGTCAGAGTTCAGCCTCCACCAAACGCAAACGAAGAGTTTCAGCTTTGTCGAGTGGCTCGCGCGATTTTCGCGTAACTAAAGTATGGATACTGTAAAAGGCTAAAAAACTACATATCCATAGTTATCTTGTAAAGGCATAGCACACGATACCACACATCTTTTCACTTGGCTCCTTAAAATCAGTTGGAAAGCTTTTACAGCTCATCGTTCCATCAGCGGTAATAAGTACCAAGGAACCGAGAAATATGATTTCACTGCTCGCTCGAGTCGGATTGTTAGCAAACGCACTAGAAAAGTTAGAGCTGAGTAGAAAAACTGTTGGCTGTTTGTTGGAATTTCTCATTTTTGAACTAACGGTCTCCTTCAGCATTTAGGCGAATGTTTTAATCGGATAGAAGATAGATCCTCGAATCGTACGCATGATTTTTATACCCGAGCGCACTTGTGCACAAGGGTATTATAACTTTGTTCACATAACGGTTGTTTGTAACAGGCAAAACGAATCGAGATAGATATAGACAAATGTATACATAAATGATCAGAATGAAAAGAGAAATCGATTAAGCGGTGACTGTCTGTCCGTCCGTCCGTCCGTCCGTCCGTCCGTCCGTCCGTCCGTCCGTCCGTCTGTGCACACGATAACTCGAGTAAAAATTGAGATATCTTAACGAAACTTGGTACGTGGACTTCTTTTGGGCATGGGACGGATGGTGTTGAAAATGAGCGAAATCGGACAATAACCACGCCTACCTCCCATATAACGGTAATTTTCAGAAATACGAAAAGTGCGATATTTTAGTAACCACTGAAGATAATTCACTCAGAATTGATATTTACAATGAGGTTTAGACGAAAAATAAGAATATTAAAAAATTTTGGCAAATGGGCGTAGCCACGCCTACTTATGGTTACATGCGTATATCTTGGTAACCGCTGCACCAATTTCTTTCAAACTTGGCACAGTTGTTGGTCCTGCTACAAGATACCAAATGGCCGAAAATTTTTAAAATCGGACAATAACCACGCCCACATCCCATATAACGGTAATTTAGAAAAATACGAAATCCTCGATAAATCAGTAAATATTAAAGCTAATTTATTCAAAATTGATGGTTGCAACAATTTTTTACCAAGAAATACGCTTATGATACAATTTTGGAAAATGGGCGTGGCACCGCCCACTTATGATCACATATATGTATCTCGCTAACCGTTCTAGCAATTTGAACCAAACTCGGTATGGTTATTGTGCTTGCCACATAAAAGCAAAGCGCTGAAAATTATTGAAATCGGACTAAATTACGACCGCTTTTCATATAACGGTATATTTCAGTAATGCTTGAAACTTCAATATTTCGAAATTTAAGGACGCTAATTTACTTAAAATTTATACACCCCGGCTTATCGTGTAGCGGTAGTTTTCGGAAAGGTGGAAAACATATATTTAATAATTGCGCCGGGTATTTAATGTTCGGCTCCGCCCGAACTTAGACTTTCTTACTTGTTTTTTTTTGTCATTTTCCAGCCTGGGTACATTCACGCAGCTTGGCGAATCTTGGAGTTGAAATCTGGTACTACGAACTAGCATGACTGTCATTTAACGACAGAACGTTGCTATGATATTTTTCTCTCCCTCTCTCCAAACACTAATCACAAACACAAGGCAGCCGTAATAGACGTCGCAAGGTGTCATGTTTTGTCAATCCTGTGCCATCCAACGCATTTCTTGGCTTGCGGTGAGGTCTGCTTTTTGCCCCTACGAAAACATCACCCAGTCGAGCAGGGCACCTTCCCAATTAAAGGACCGGATATTACAGGTGCTTGCTCGGAAAACATAGTCCTTGAAATGTTTGTCGGGCTCGTCATGAAAAGAGGGGTTCTCATCCGAAGCTTGATTTTAGTTTTTTTCGTTTGAGAAGGCTGGGGGCATTTTACGTGGCGGGTCTGAAACTCTGCGAACAACCCGATTTTGTAGTTTTAAATTCGCTTATGACACCTTATCCGCTTATTTTTCAATGGCTATAACAATTGTCCTTCTCTTAATTTTACAGTAAACGTTGTCGATGGCGAGTTGTTGCATATAACCAAAGTGAGTCGCCTGCACATGGCTGCCTACCTGTGTGTAGCGTCAAATGGAGTGCCACCGTCCATCAGTAAGCGAGTACATCTGCGAGTGCAATGTAAGTAAAAAACAAATATAATTCGAATATTAGTAAATGCCACTTTATATTTGCCTATTATGTTATTAAATATTTGTATAAACGCACATGCGCTTTGAAGCCAATGACAAATCAGCAATCCTTTAATGATTACCGAAACGAAAAAGAGAACAAATAAAGCTTTCCTCCTTTTAACATTCCATTTGGAATCATTCATTGGTAACACTAACTTGATGCGCATTTGTTCCATGAAAACTTTTCTAAGCTCCCTGCATATTGAGTGGGCCAAAACCAGCAAAATATTTTAATTAAATCTCGCTGCCAAATATTACATCTGCCAAAAATGCAAATGCTTACAGACAACTAAATGCCATACACCTTACATATATACCCGATGCATACATAAATATTTAGCTTGCCACACCCGACTATAACAATCGCCCAACAAACATGCCAACTCCCAACTAATTTCGGTCAGTAATGCGAAAATTTCCAACTGCTACCAGTGCTTGTTGTTTGGACAGCAAGTTTTTTTTGTTTTTTTTTTGTGCTAGGTACTATCAATTTTACCACAATTTGTGCAACATGCTTTGCAGCCACAGCAATAGCACGTTGCACGTTTATAACATGCCAAAAAAGTGGCAAAACAAAAACTGCAGTAATCCAAAAGAACAGAAGAACACTGCCACATTAGTGCCGATATGGTTTTTTTTTGCGTTTGCCACAGGTTTGCAATTTGAAAGTGGCTGATATTAAAATTGTTATAATTAAGGCTTCCATTGGTTTTTCTGTGATTAGCGTTCAGCTGCAGACTAGTATTCAGTTCGCAATTGTTAGTTACGCCTTTTTGGTCAAGCATCAATTGTTTAATTAAAAGTTTTTGATGCAACCAAAATACCCATTCACCTACAATTGCATTTAATTTGGTTGGGATAAAACAATAAACGCTGATTGTGGTAGATTTTGCCTGTTACAAACGCCAGTTACATAATGAAGAATTCGCTTGAAGTAGAAAAATTTTAGAAAATCTAATGGCGAAGACCACAATCAATATTTAAAATGTAATTAAAACGGGTGATTATAAAATGGGCCTATTGCCAAATAGAATTCGGGGAGAGCTAAATTGATGTCTCTGGAAACGCTGTTGCTCAGCCATTACATACTTAGAATATTTTATAACAAATAGTAGTATTTGAAAAAAAAAAATTGTAAACTACTTCTTTCAAACATTACACGAAAAAATTCGGCCTTTGTATTAACGAAGTTTATATAGAACTAGAGTTACCCAGCACGCCTTGCTGTGGCTCAGTCTAATATGTACTAAAATTAAATTATGTATGAATATAGAGGTGAACGTAGATACATATGTATGTATATGGTTGTTTTGAATTGTAAAGCTATCTAATTGATGTTAATTTTCAGTCACTTTCGAATGTAATTTGGACATACCAATATGACTTTTATCATTTTCGGTAATCAGTGTGGGTTCATCTAAAATACCACGTCCTTCATTTTATTAACTTCACCGACCGATGCCAGCATATTTGTTCCCTGGCATTGCAATGAAAAATATAAAATATTACAGAACCGAGGAATCAAGGAATTTTTAAAACACCTTTCACCGGATATTTGAATATTTTTTTACGTTATTATTATTTCTTAGGTTTTTATGAGTATCTGATTAAAGAATGTGTAAATTTTTTCATTGTATTTATGCTTATTCAAATACCATATCGTAATATTTCATTTAATTTTCAATGTTTGATCTTAACTTTTAAGATTGGTCATAATGCTAATGAAATATGTTTTCAAATCAAAGATTTCTTAAATAATTTCGTTTGATACTAAAATTGTAATATTTTATTTATCCTACCAATTTAACTGAATACAGTTTTCAATCAGGTGGAAAATCTTTACAAATGTTTTCCACTTTATTACTTTGACACCCTTATTAATAAGGCTCGGAATATCATGCACTAAAAAATCGAAATAAACGCAATATAATAAGCATTTAAAAAAACGTTTCACTGCCATTCACCTGGGAGTGGCCAGAAGCCGGATATTTATAAGCGTGAAGCCTTGCGACATCTACTACAGTTGCCACGTAAACGAGTGCAAATTCGGAGTTGGATTCGTAATAGGAGAGAGACTCCATCGCCAAATACTGGCGTTCACCCCGGTGGACGAACGTCTAGCCACAATCCACATCAAAGCTAGATTCTTCAACATCTCGCTCATCTGCGCCCATGTCCCGACGGAAGAGAAGAATGAGGCGTCCAAAGAACTCTTCTATGAGCGCTTGGAACGTACATATAAGCGCTGCCCCCGACACGATATCAAAATCGTGCTTGGCGATTTTAATGCCAAGGTGGGCAAGGAAGGGATCTTTGGCGCCGCTGTCTGAAAATTCAGCCTCTACGACGAAACGTCCGATAACGGGCTGAGGCTGATCGAATTCGCCGGGGCCCGAATCATGGTAATATGTAGTACTAGGTTCCAGCATAAGAACATCCACCAAGCTACATGGCTGTCTCCAGATCGAAAAACGAGAAACCAAATCGATCATGTTGTGATAGACGGAAGGCATGCTTCAAGCGTTCTAGACGTACACACACTCCGAGGGCCAAACTTTGACTCGGACCACTATCTTGTTGTAGATACGCACCCGCCTCTGTGCAGCAAAAAAGTGCGCCCAACAATGCAAGGAAAGCTTAATGTCGAAAAGCTGCAATCACAACAGACGGCCAATTTATTCGCCACTCGACTCACACACCTGCTCTCTGAGAGCACTCTTCAACAATCCGACATACGCGAGCAGTGGAGCCACATTTCCCGATCATTAAGTACCGCCGCCGAAGAAGTAGTTGGATTTCAGCGAGCACGAGAGAACAACTGGTACGATGAGGAATGTCAAGTAGCCGCACAGAAAAAAGATGCAGCCTACAGGGCCACGCTGCGATCGGGCGCAACGCGAGCCAAGTGGGACCGTTATTGGAAACTGAAGAAGGAAGCGAGACGTATTTGCCGCAATAAGAAGAGAGAGGCCGAAATACGTGAGTGCGAAGAGTTTGAGATGCTGGCCGACAGGAAGAACACCCGGAAATTCTACCAGAGGGTTAGGCGACTTACGGAAGGTTTCACGACCGGGGCGAACTCCTGTAAGAACAAAAATGGCGACCTAGTAACCTATGTCCAGAATATACTTAAATTGTGGAGGAAGCACTTTTACAACCTACTGAATGGTAGCAGCGCTGAAAGAATTGAAGAAGACGAATCCGAGTGCCCAGTCGATGATGATGGAGTAGCTGTCCCACCGCCTGACTATGACGAGGTACGAATAGCGATTACGCGGCTGAAAAACAACAAAGCTGCTGGAGCTGACGGCCTGCCAACCGAGCTATTCAAGTACGGCGGCTATATCGGAGATACAGCCGCTAAATTTAAACGTATAATACGTGGTATGGTTAAGAGCATATCCAAGTCAAAAACGAAAGGATACACTAACAGGCCTATTCTGCGTTGGTAACAAAAATTTCGTTACCAGTTAGTAAAGTTACTGTAAATTTTTAACCCCTTTTCGTATTCTCCACACTCTTGTAACCGGTAAATTTTGTTACCATCTCATGAGCAGGTAACAAAATATTGCCCCGCGAAATATGCATCACCAGAATTTCAACAAAACTCCATAGCTGAATTGCTGAATAAGTTAAAACGTTACCAAGGTAAATAGAATTGCGGTTGCAAGAAGTGGTGACAATTGTTGGTAACAAAATTAGCTTGCTACAAAATGTTCGGTTACAAGCAGAATAGGCCTGTAAGAAAAAGAATATCGATAGCAAAAGCGATAATAATACCGATAGCAAAATCGATAAAAATATGGATATCAAAAAAATATCGATAACAAAAGCGATATCAAATTTGATAATAATATCGATAGCAAAATTGATAAAAAAATCGATAAAAATATCGATAACAAAATCGATAACAAAATCTATCAAAAAATCGATTACAAAGTCGATAACAACAACCATTAAAACTATCGATAACAACCTCGATAGCAAAATCGATAAAAATATCGATAATAAAACCCACAAAAATACCGACAGCGAACGCGATAACAATATCGATAGCAAAATCGATAAAAATATCGATAACAAAATCGATAAAAATCTATAATAAAATCGATAGCAAAGGCGATAACAAAATCGATCACAAAATAAATAAAAATATCGATAACAAAATCGACCAAAATATCGATAACAAAATCGATAAAAATATCATTAAAACACCGACAAAATACCGATTATATTATATCGATAAGTCCCGAGAGTCCCGAAAATCTCAAAAGTTCCGAAATAGTTCCCAGATTGAGTCTGTGTGCCTCTATCTATATCCTTTTCTCTAAAACTACCTTTATTTTAATCTTTCTTCCTCTATCTTCATCTATACTTTTATCGGTATCCTCATCCTCATCTTTTTATAACCGAACTCACTTGTGAACAAGGGTATTATAACTTTGTTCACATAACGGTTGTTTGTAACAGGCAAAACGAATCGAGATCTATATAGACAAATTCATACATAAATGATCAGAAGAAAAAGAGAAACCGATTAAGCCGTGACTGTCTGTCCGTCCCGTCCGTCCGTCCGCCTGTGCACACGATAACTCGAGTAAAAATTGAGATATCTTAACGAAACTTGGTATGTGCACTTCTTTCTACCGTAGGACGGATGGTATTGAAAACGGGAAAAATCGGACAATAACCACGCCTACCTCCTATATAACGGTCATTTTCAGAAATACGAAAACTGCGATATTTTAGGAACTACTGAAGATTATTCACTCAAAATTTACATCTACAATAATTTTTAACCGCTGCACCAGTTTCTTCCAAACTTGGCACAGTTGTTGGCCTTGATACAGCATACTAAATGGCCGAAAATTTTAAACATCGGACAATAACCACGCCCACATCCCATATAACGGTAATTTAGAGAAATACAAAATCTTCGATAAATCA